CCCAAACTATAAATTATGAAACACACCTGCCAAAGACCATAAAATCTGAACCAAAATGAAAAAGAGAAGGCTGAGGGCTGACAAATATTTCTTCAGGCATGAGCAGGAGGTAGATTTCCCGAGGAGTAAATGTGAGAGTCCTAAAAGGCCTGCTTCAGTGGATCTTGATTATAGACACTAGAAGGGGGACCATGTGCCGCCCCTGAAAATACCGTGAATGTCCCTCCAGAGCTGTCGGGTAGATGGAGCTGCAGGAGAGACCACATGTGGAGGCCCTGTAGCCCAGGAAGGCTGCAGAGATGGAGTGGCATGAAGGATGCTTGCTGGGTGATTACAGTTACTTAAGAGACTGTTCCCTGAGTCACCCTAGCCCTTCAAATGCCAAAGTTTGAAGAGAAGTGTGGGCAGAGGAAATAAAAATTTGATGACAGACTGTGGGAGACAAGAAACTGATGGAAACACCCTAGCTCATCCCCCAACCCATATTATTCACAAACAGCCAGCTACATTTAAAGCTGCAGCATAAAAACTAAGTGTCAGAACTGAAATGGGGGAAAGTGAAGGATCAGAAAGAAGTCAGGGCATGGGCAAAGGAACAGGGAGCAAGAGTCACATGAACAACAGCATCACAATGATACTAGCCAGAGAAAAGTGTCAAAAAATAGTCTCTGTACTCCCAAGGAAATTATAGTCATGATATCTTGGCCCAGGGCAGGCGGTGATGGAGTGGAGGGAGGAGTGGCTCTAAAATGAGGTTTAGAGTTCATAAAGAGGTTATAAGTCAACAGAAGGAGATGAGAAGACAACTTGGAATAGTCAGGGGAAAAAACTGAAAAGAAAAATTTTATATAGCAGACATAAAAGTTATTTTACAAACAACAAAAAATAAAACAACTGAAAACAGAGAGCTATGGTATATAAGGTGGAATGACTCATATAAAATGATATGGAAAAGAGTTAAGATGTAAAATTGGCTTTTAGAGGCAGTGATGGATATGGAAGGCAGAGGAGATTAAACATGAGTGTAATGGGTATTTGTGAGAAGAACAAAACAAGTGGAACAAAAAATATTCAGAGATAATAAGGAGAATTAACTTCCTCTAATAAAAGCGTTAACCTTCAGGTCAGAATGGCATACTACGTGCCAAGAAAATATGACCCACTAAAACACAGCCAGCAAATAAGGTGCTGAACTTCATGGGTTAAAAAAAAACAAGAGCAAAAGGCCTCTGAGCGTAAAAGTCAAACAGACAACAAAAATCTCCTGCCTGGCCTCACACATCTTCACGGTAGCATCAGATGCCAGCAGACAGTGAAACGTGCCACAGTTCAAAAGGGAAGGAAAGGGACTTCCCTGGCCATCCAACAATTAAGACTCTGTGCTTCCAATGCAGGGGACACTGGTTCGATCCATGGTTAGGGAACTAAGGTCCCTGCATGCTGTGTGGCCAAAAGATTAAATAAATAAATTTTTTAAAAAAGGAACTATGACCTGTCGGGGTCCAGCCCCAGCAGGATCCAGGGGAACCCTCAGGATGAAGGGCATCGGTGAATGAGAGAGAGAGTGAGACAGAGCTCGGGGCTAAGTCTGAAGTTTATTTTTGCACGGCTCCTTTATACCCTTAACAACATCTTTTGGGGGGAAGTGCATATATTGCTTACACACAGGGCATCTCAAAACATTACAGCAACTTGACCTTCAACAGAAACAGGATGTCACGCACATACTTTTTTATTCACAAGAGTCTTATCATTTGGCCTTCAGGCTTGCTAACATTTTATGGCTTGCACCTGGTGTGACTTAAGCAACTTCAGTAGCCAACCCTGTTTTTCTTATAATTAATCTATTTTCTTTCTAATAAGCGTCATCTCTATGGGAACTAGATAGGATTACATTTTTTACAGAAAGAAATGCGAAGGACTGCAGAAACAACAGATATGGCACAAAACAGGCTCTGAGTCTAAAAGTTAACTACCTGCAAGAAGTCGCCAGCTAATCTCTATCTAAAGTATTTTCTATTAGGCACATTTGTGGCTATCATATTTGTGGAGCTTTTCTCACCCCGTGAAGGGGCCTATGCTTAATAGTTTCTTTTGTTAGCGTACTGTGTTTAGGATGTTTAGAACAATCAAGAGCATTTTTTGCAATGAGAGCACATATTTATCACACAAGCCAGAATGCCAGCAAAAGGGTTTGAATTGAAGCATTTCCTTCATCCCTGGCCCCTTCGTACGGTACCACCATCCAGGAGATTAATTAATTAGGGTTTTAAGTTGGTCCTCACTCAGTGAAAGAGGAGCAGGAGAGCTCTTGGCAGGCAACACAAGAATCCGCAGCAGGGCAAACAAGAGCAACAGCAGAAAAGGGGGGCGGATACAGGGTGGGGTAGAGGCCGAGGCCAACCTGGAGGGAGGGTCCCTTTTATCCTAGACGGCCTTGCCTGTCAGGTTCTTTCCTCGTGACCTCGTCATGGATGGGGTCCCGGACGGCCTTGCCTGCCCGATATTTTCTTCATGACCTCGTCACGGGCGGGACCCCCCATAACAGCTCCCGGCAATGACCCAAGTATTTTCCTTTACATTTTGTTTTTTCTCCATGTGGAAAGGCAACGGAGAGGCAGTCAGATCATCCATGCATAAGTCTTGTCTTATGGTATGGGATCAAGACTTTAAGGGCCAAGAAGACACACCAAGATGACTCATAGTAAAAAATCCAGAAAAACACAGATACTGGTGAAAAAAGACAGACGATGAATCATAAATTCATTTAAGGGCAGAATTAAGACTAATCAGCCAGCATTGGCATCTCAGAACAGAACATAAATATCAGAAAATCTTGACATTAGCTAAATAGTTTAACAAAAACAAATGGAATGTTTGGAGAGAAGAGATGGGTGAGAGGAAATGTGCATGTGCCTGTCCCTCTTAGCAGCGAGTCAATAGATATTCTTGGATGTCAGAATATATCAGTAATAATATCAGGCTGATCAGAAAGTTCATTTGGGCCAACCCAATAACCACCTGAATCTCTTGTTGGTTTCTTTCATCTTCCTTAACTGCAGAGTTCTTTTGGGAATTAGTTACTTGAACTCTTTTCATCTTATTTCATTTTTTCCTAATATGCCTAATAAAATTGTAGTAAATCATTAAATTAAAATGTCCACATGTAATTATGATCAGCTATCATTTTTATACACACAATGATTATCACATATCAATGTTATTTTATGTATAGCAGCTTGGGTGTTTTTTAAAAAAATCTTTCCTTTTATGTTTTTCTAGTTCTTCAATTCTTGGTCATGGGTATATGCCATTTTTAATGTTAAAGTTTTTATTAAACTATAATTGGCATATCCGTTTCAGGTGTGCAACATAGAAATTCAATGTTTGTATCCGTTACGAAAGGATCATCACAATAAGTCTAGTCCCCATACAAAATTGATACCACGTTATTATCTGTATTATATCATTTTTTAAAAAGCAAAGTCATCTTACTATATAAATAAATAGATAAAAAACAAATGAGACATCAACTACAAGGCCCCAGAATCCCATGGCAATTAATTACTAAAAATTAGTTACTATCTCATAAAGAAGAAAGGAAGTAATCGAAATGTCCATCAACAGATGAATGGATAAACAAAATGTGGTATATACATATATCATTGCACCATAAAAAAGGAATGAAATTCTGATACCTGCTACAACATGGATGAGCCTCGAAGAATTATGCCAAGTGATAGAAGCCAGACATAAAAGGCCATGTAGCGTATGGTTGTTTCTACCTTTTGGCTGTTGTAAGTGATGCTACTGTGAACACTGGTATACAAACATCTGAGTTTCTGCTTTTGATTTTTTTGGATATTTTTCAAGAAGTGGAATTACTGGATCATATGGTAATTCTTTGTGTAACTTTTTGAGGACCCGACAAACTTTTCCATAGAGGCTGTACCATTTTATTTTCACATCGGCAGTGCATCAACATTACAGTTTATCCACATCTATTTTTTTTAATAATAGGCATCTTGATGGGTTTGAAATGGGAAATGGTATCTCATTGGGTTTTTAGTATTTATTTAAAACATACATGTTATCCTATCTCTGAAATTTTTTTGCTTCATGTTATAACAAAACTATGTCAGTTATAAACATTCATTTTTTTTTCCTGGATCTGTTTCTTTTACTTTTTTTTTCCATTTATTTTTATTAGTTGGAGGCTAATTACTTTACAATATTGTAGTGGTTTTTGCCATACATTGACATGAATCAGCCATGGATTTTACATGTGTTCCCCATCCCGATCCCCCCTCCCACCTCCCTCTCCACCCGATCCCTCTGGGTCTTCCCAGTGCACCAGCCCTGAGCACTTGTCTCATGCATCCAACCTGGGCTGGTGATCTGTTTCTCCCTTGATAATATACATGTTTCAATGCTGTTCACTCTAAACATCCCACCCTCGCCTTCTCCCGCAGAGTCCAAAAGTCTGTTCTGTACATCTGTGTCTCTTTTTCTGATAAACATTCATTTAAAATATTCAGTCACAAGGTTAAAAACCTTGTAACCATGTGAGATTCTGGCTGTTAACTTATTGTAGTAATCAACATATATAAATCATTATGTTGTATACCTTAAACTAATACAATGTTACATATCAATTATATCGCAGTAAAATTGGAAAAAACAGTGAGCCTCATACCTTACAAAACAGTTGAGGCACAAGGGAAGCCCAAGAATACTGGAGTGGGTAGCCTATCCCTTCTCCAGTGGATCTTCCCGACCCAGAAATTGAACCAGCATCTCCTGCATTGCAGGTGAATTCTTTACCAACTGAGCTATCAGGGAATCCCAGCTTACAAATAGATTTTTTTTAAAAAGAAAGAAGGAAGGAAGGAAGGGAAGGAGGGAAAAGAAAATGTGGAAGGGCGAGAGACGTGGCTTTGCTGGGGACGTGTGTCTGCTCTCGCTCCGCCTGACTCTTGTCCCCACCATTCTCCTTACAGTGTTCTGTCAGTTGTGGTGTTGGAACCCAGCGGAGACAGCAGATGTGCCAGAAGCTGACGGCCAAAGGCCATCGGGTCCCCCTCACTGAGACGCTGTGCCGGCATCTTTCTGGACCTCCTCTGGTGAGATCTTGCCAGATGCCTGTGTGCAGGAGTAAGTATGGAAATTCACACCGTGGACTCTGCTCGTTCTGTTCTCCTCCTCCAATGGCGTCGTTTTCCATAGAGCAGCTCGTTTCTAGTCTGTAGGTACAGCAAATCAAGCAGAACTCAGCATTGTTACCAGTGGCAAATGGTATAATATTGATGACCAAGGTACAACTCTAAGAAAAGTCAGCTTGAAGGAATGTCCACCCTCTTAACAAATGCACCCCTAGGCTGCCTCACTTGGGTTTACACTTCCCTATGGTCTCCGCTTCATCATGATTTCCCCCACTTAGAACTCATGAGTGTTCCTAGTAGAAGTTAAGCTGAAATACTTTCCTTTTTTTAACTTTTTATTTTGTATTGGTGTATAGCTGATTAACAATGTTGTGATAGTTTCAGGTGGACAGCAAAGGGACTCAGCCATACATACATGTACATGTATCCTTTCTCCCCCAAACTCCCCTTCCATCCAGGCTGCCACATAACATTGAGCAGAGTTCCCTGTGCTGTACAGTAGGACATTGTTGGTTATCCACTTAAGTATAGCAGTGTGTTCCTGTCTATCCCAAACTCCCTAACTATGCCATCCTTCCCCCTGGCAACCGTAAGTTAAGTGAAGTACTTTCTGATATCATTCTTTGCTAATGATATGTGGGGATTCATCCTATTTAAAGTAGATGACCTAAGTATTTTTAAATATTCAAGTAACTCTTCTTTTGGATACTCTAATAATCTAAAACCAGCAAGGATGAAAATGTGAAATAGCTTTGGCTTTTAAAGGTGACAGTTTAGATACTTCTTCAGTTTATTATAAATAATAAGCTGAGTATAAAGAGTTAATATTACAGTTTCATTATATCCAAAAGCTAAAATGCATGTACCAGTCATCTCTATCTTCAGTGTACGTGATTTAGTTTAGGTGCATATGCATATGCATGTTTCATGTAGGAGGGTGATGAAAAATGAGTGGAGGGCTGCCCCCATGGTAGCTGAAAATAGGGCAGCAGTGTGGTCATGAGAAATGGGGTAGGGCAGCAGTCCTCAACTTTTTTGGCAACAAGGACCAGTTTCGTGGAAGATGGTTTTTCCACGGCCGATGAGGAATGATGGTTTGGGGATGATTTAAGCCCATTACATTTGTTGAGCACTTTATTTCTATTATTCAGAGATCAGATCAGATCAGTCGCTCAGTCGTGTCCAACTCTTTGTGACCCCATGAATCACAGCACGCCAGGCCTCCCTGTCCATCACCAACTCCCGGAGTTTACTCAAACTCATGCCATTGAGTCAGTGATGCCATCCAGCCATCTCATCCTCTGTCGCCCACTTCTCCTCCTGCACCCAATCCCTCCCAGCATCAGGGTCTTTTCCAATGAGTCAACTCTTCATATGAGGTGGCCAAAGTATTGGAGTTTTAGCTTCAACATCAGTCCTTCCAGTGAACACCCAGGACTGATCTCCTTTAGGATGGACTGGTTGGATCTCCTTGCAGTCCAAGGGACTCTCAAGAGTCTTCTCCAACACCACAGTTCAAAAGCATCAATTTTTCGGTGCTCAGCTTTCTTCACAGTCCAACTCTCACATCCATACATGACCACTGGAAAAACCATAGCCTTGACCAGACGGACCTTTGTTGGCAAAGTAATGTCTCTGCTTTTTAATATGCTGTCTATGTTGGTCATAACTTTCCTTCCAAGGAGTAAGTGTCTTTTAATTTCATGGCTGCAGTCACCATCTGCAGTGATTTTGGAGCCCAAAAAATGAAGTCTGACACTTTTTCCACTGTCTCCCCATCTATTTCCCATGAGGTGATGGGACCAGATGCCATGATCTTAGTTTTCTGAATGTTAAGCTTTAAGCCAACTTTTTCACTCTCCTCTTTCACTTTCATCAAGAGGCTTTTTAGTTCCTCTTCACTCTCTGCCATAAGGGTGGTGGTGTCAGCTGCATATCTGAGGTTATTGATATTTCTCCCGGCAATCTTGATTCCAGCTTGTGCTTCTTCCAGCCCAGCATTTCTCATGATGAACTCTGCATATAAGTTAAATAAGCAGGGTGACAGTATACAGCCTTGACGTACTCCTGTTCCTATTTGGAACCAGTCTGTTGTTCCATGTCCAGTTCTAACTGTTGCTTCCTGACCTGCATACAGGTTTCTCAAGAGGCAGGTCAAATGGTCTGGTATTCCCATCTCTTTCAGAATTTTCCACAGCTTATTGTGATCCACACAGTCAAAGGCTTTCGCAAAGTCAATAAGGCAGAAATAGATGTTTTTCTGGAACTCTCTTGCTTTTTCCATGATCCAGTGGATATTGGCAATTTGATCTCTGGTTCCTCGGCCTTTTCTAAAACTAGCTTGAACATCTGGAAGTTCACGGTTCATGTATTGCTGAAGCCTGGCTTGGAGAATTTTGAGCATTACTTTACTAGTGTGTGAGATGAGTGCAATTGTGTGGTAGTTTGAGCATTCTTTGGCATTGCCTTTCTTAGGGATTGGAATGAAAACTGAGCTTTTCCAGTCCTGTGGCCACTGCTGAGTTTTCCCAATTTGCTGGCATATTGAGTGCAGCACTTTCACAGCATCATCTTTTTGGATTTGAAATAGCTCAACTGGAATTCCATCACCTCCACTAGCTTTGTTCGTAGTGATGCTTTCTAAGGCCCACTTGACTTCACATTCCAAGATGTCTGGCTCTAGGTGAGTGATCACACCATCATGATTATCTGGGTCATGAAGATTTTTTTTTGTACAGTTCTTCTGTGTATTCTTGCCACCTGTTCTTAATATCTTCTGCTTGTGTTAGGTCCATACCATTTCCATCCTTTATCAAACCCATCTTTGCCTGAAATGTTCCCTTGATGGCTTTAATTTTCTTGAAGAGATCTCTAGTCTTTCCCATTCTGTTGTTTTCCTCTATTTCTTTGCATTGATCACTGAGGAAGCCTTTCTTATCTCTCCTGGCTATTCTTTGGAACTCTGCATTCAAATGGGAATATCTTTCCTTTTTTCCTTTGCTTTTCACTTCTCTTCTTTTCACAGCTATTTGTAAGTCCTCCTCAGACAATCATTTTGCCTTTTTGCATTTCTTTTCCTTGGGGATGGTCTTGATCCCCTGTCTTCTGTACAATGTCACGAACCTCCGTCCATAGTTCATTCTGTCTATCAGATCTAGTCCCTTAAATCTATTTCCTACTTCCACTGTATAGTCATAAGGGATTTGATTTAGGTCATACCTGAATGGTCCAGTGGTTTTCCCTACTTTCTTCAGTTTAAGTCTAAATTTGGCAATAAGGAGTTCTTATTTCTATTATTACTATCTTGTAATATGTAATGAAATAATTATACAGCTCACCATAATGCAGACTCAGTGGGAGCCCAGAGCTTGTTTTCCCGCAGCTAGATGGTCCCATCGGGAGGTGATGAGAGAGCGATGGGGAGGAGCCGAAGAACACATGGAGCTTTGCTCACTCACCTGTGTGACTCAGTTCCTAACAGGCCACCGACCAGTACTGCTCTGTGGCCCGGGCGTAGGGGACCCCGGGATAGGGTCCCTTTCCTGATTGTTTCTCACTGTCTTTAAGTATTCACATAAAAAGGAATACTAACTGCCTCAGGTACCCTCCTGAACTTATGGTAAGAAAAAAATAAGAAGGTAGCTATTATTTTTAATGCTTCTTAGGAAAAGAAATATATGTACACACACACACACACACACACACACACACTACCAAGTTTATCAAAAACTTTCCTGAAGAAACTTACAAAACAAAGTAAGTAAAACAGCAATGACCTTTTTTTTAAAGTCATAGCTTTATAGCATTTACTGGGCACTTACTCTGTGAACCTCCTTGCAGGCATGGTTGCATCATCACATTTAGTTCCCAGCAGTTCTGAGACAGGTGTCATCCCCATTGAGAGATGAGGAGCCCAAGACGAAGAGAAGGTCCAAGATTTGACCACGGGCCTGTAGCTGTTGGTTGGGGCTCTTGGCCTCCTTGACCATGAGTCCATCTGATTCCTGGGCCCATGCTTTAAGCCACCTCTGTGTGGTGATTCGTGGACAACATTAATTTTTCTGTCCCTGGGAATTCTTTAAGACTAAATCTTCAAATTTTTGAGATTCCATAACTTTGAAATCCCAAGTTTTATAGTGTCCTGGATTTTAAGAATGTCTGTGGTATATGGTGCAGTGTCACGGTTCAGGCTGCTTACCTGTGTGATTTTTATTAATTGTGGATGGTTGCATAGCAATACAGCTGAACCGTAAATTACCTTAGAGGAGAGTGAAATTAAATTCCGGCAGCTTTCTCTAAAATAATAGCAGAGTAACATGTGGGAACACATTATGGTTATTAGGGCATGCGGTGTGGTATGAGATGCAATTAGAAACTATTTTGACATGCAGTAGAAAGAGTAAAAGGATAAGTTTTAGGGAGAAAAAATAAAGGACTCCATACCATTGTCTAGCTTGCCAACATGGAGGTCATGGAAGCAGACAAGAGACAGGAATTTGTGTTCCCAGCACAGCCCGAGCTGGGCCCCCACTTCAGCTATAGTCTGGCCTCATGCCATCCCCAGGGATCAGTGGCCCTGGCTTGCAAAAACAATGGCATCCTCTTCTCCCCACCACCAGGAATGAGCCAGGGATGAGCTTGGCACTCACGTCCTTCCCCTGCTGCCTCTTCACCATATTCTCTGTCATCTCACAGCATGCACATGGCCCCCATCTTCAGATGCATTGACCCGCAGGATCCTTTCCACCTTTCCCTAGGACCACTACAGGTCCATTCTTTCTCTCTGCCGTTTGCCAACATCCAGGACAAACTGCACCCATGCTGATGACTTTCACATACCCTAATGTCCCTAGTCCCCAACGTGATCAATTTCCCTGATCACCATCACACCTTGGCATAGGGACACCATGGTTATGGGGTATGGCTTATAACAATGTTGTGATAGTTTCAAGTAGACAGCATAGGGACTCAGTCATACACATACATGTATCC